TAATCTTTATGGAATTTGGGGTGTAACGGCGTTTGATTAAGTGCTGGTGCGAATTGAATGGCAAGGGATATGGAACAGTGATCGGTCACTTTGACAGTGGTCTCCGTAGACTAGAAGTCAATGGGGCGGGAGCTCAGTATGGTTTCATGGTATAGCATCATCAATCAGAGAACGGATCGTCTGATAATGTATCGGCCACAGTACAACGTTTAATTGGTGATGGATCGCAATATTCACAGCAGACTCATATTTGGCGTAAGAAATTTTTTCATCGGCTCCGTTCGTGCATATTCGATATGGATTTATTATTTTCATCTTTCCTAACCCTCTTTCGTCGGAAGCGATACGTAACGCGCAAGATATGAAGGGCGGTAATGGGGGAAAATTGTGCTTCATTCGATTTTGATAGACTTGATGGCGGATTTAGGTCCCGCTGTCACTCACGAGTATTGTCCTATTACTTTTCAAGTGACGTGTTAACGACTGGGAATAGAGGATTTTGTGCTCAACCTACTTTAGTGAGCTTTCAATACGTAAGTACTATATCGTTTAATTCGAGTATGTGTCGTTTTAGACTTCATAACTTCAAGAACGTTTAATGCCGCGCCTTTTAAATTTACTAGTGCTATAAAACAAACAGTAGTAAGGTACTCCCATAAAACTTTAAGATGTTAATTTAATGATAAACTCTGTAATATTTTCAAGCAGACGTTATCTAAATAAGCTGTAAGTAGTTCATCTTAGGGACTACTGAAGAAGCTTTCCGATAGTTGTTTTACAAAGATAAGCTTTTATTAAAATTCAAACAAGTTAGTAGCTGTCTGTCAACTGCTTACTTTTGAGTCCACAGATTAAAAGGGTGACATTTGTTTATTTGGACTGTCACGTCAACCGGAGTTAAAGTGATATCATGTTTTTATAAATCCAAGAAAAGTTTCAGAAATATGTATTATATTTTTTAGTGTGATAAATAATTCTGACTTGTGGCCTGAATTTGATTCTTGTTTTAGCTTTGATGTTATTTTGCGCTAAGAATTCTTAAAGAACGTAAGTTTTTTAATACTTTAGTTGTCAAATGACAGATCGACAGTCCCACACAATAGTTTTTTTACACATTCTGGAATGAGATCCTTCATGAGTTACATGCAAAAGTATCGGCACTACTCCATTTGTCTCTATTATTATTATCAGTAGCTTTTGATAAGGGGTTTTAATATCTTTAGAGCAATCCAGAATCCCACCATCAGTAATTTCACTTATCGTCACGTATCGGTTGCCGCCTGCATCCTTTAGTTTTGGGTGCGATCACCCATATCCCCAATTACCTATTCGATAAGGGGCCTTATTTATAGCACCCGCTCGCTCACTGAATTAAAATTCATTGTTTCTTATCCTGGAACCCAAAGACCGAGGTCACAAGATATCTTTGCTTTATCGGTAACAAGAATAGGCTTTTAAACTGGAGGGCGGGGGTGATAATTACGTGACCTCTTGGGTGGGGATTCCAAGATCGCATTGATCTATCAATTGGAAAGTTTTAAGGTCCTTAGGTATATCAAGTTTCTTGAATTAATTCAGAAGAGTCAGATGACAACAGATAAGACACGGATTGGTTTTATGACTTGAACTCTTTGAGATAGAATCGAATCTTTAAATACTTTTATTGCTCTATTAGTCAATGTAAAGTAAGTGGATATTTATACATAGTTGGGTTTGTTATTTCTGTAGTTACCGAATATAGAATAGGAGGAATCGGGGTCATACTAATAGGATTTGAAATTTAATGTAAAATGATAATTTTATGCCTCATTGTGTACGAATTTGTAAGCATTTTCAAAAGCGAGATACCGTAAAATTACAACGCTGAAACAATGACCCTAATGAATGATTCACTTCCTTTGAAAATTAGCAACGGTGAAAATAAGAAAGCAAATTTGATAACCGAGTAAACTTGTGCCATGTGTGGTGTATTAATACGTATAAATATTCATGTTAAAGTAACGGATGTAGATTTAAAAGTTTTTTAGTTTCCCACTCATTTCGCAAGCAAAAGTAAAGAGCGTGAGCGGGCTTCGTAAATGTGGGTTGCGGCTATATGTGGTAAAGATATGCGCATATTTCTATATTGTATGTTAAATAACTCAAAGTGTATGAGATGGGACGCATCCGTTCAGTAACCGATGATCTCTGACGACACTAGCGACAGGATCTAAAGCATTAGAACATTCTATCACCTCTTGCACTTCTGGATGCACGAATGTGACCTCTATTGTGACTGCTGGAAGGCCCATACATTCTATTAGAGTCGTTCACCATTCAACTCAGTGTATTGTTCAAAACAGTGATTGTACGATGTTGTATTTACAACAGAAAAAAGCTGGAGTTTGTAATATTTTTTGTGGTTCTGTTATTCATTGACGTATTGATAAACATTGTGTTTGATTGAAATTAATCAATGCATTGATTTGTAGAAATTATGAGTACTATGGCGTATTATACGTTTGTTAATGATCTGTTTAAGATTACAAGTATGAAAAGTATTCACAATGTAGGTACCTTAGTTTTGTATAACATGCTCTAGAAAACTCTATATTTTCCTTTGTCGGTTGTACCTACGTAAGAAGTGAAACAAATTCATAAAAAATATTGAGTCTATTTTTAAGCTCGTATTTTGTATCGTTAATACTAAGTAACGCGATGCATCAGAGCTGCGTATCGAATGACGTTGTTACAAGAACAAATGCGTCCATTTTGACTTCATGTTTCCGGCCTTTTTCACTCTATTACCGAACACAGATTTTGTAATTTATCTAAAGTAAGGCGTGTTTATAAAAATGTTTTAATATTTATTTCAATGTGACTAAGAAATTCGTTTTCATTATAACTACGTTCTGTATAAGATTACGTATTATGAATAAGTATTGTAGTAATATGTTTTTAAGCTACTGAAACTGAAACTACTACTTAGAAGGCAATTTGTACATTATTTATTTATTTACCCATCTATTAGGTTTTTCTCTCAGATTTATTTATTTAAATGAAAACCAATATAGGTAGGTACCTAAATGTAGAGTTGAACTTAATCAGAAACATGTTTTCAGATTCTCGGGAAATACTAACATTTATTTTGAAAAACGAACTGCATTGAAGTTATACACACTCAAAGATAATAAAGAAATAGAGTGCGGAGTATGCTCTTACTTTAAAAACTAATGGACTGAGTCCCAGTAGCAAACTTAAGCCATAAAATTATAAACCAGCGCCTTAGCTAAAGAGCATTTGCTAATTCATCACTTCAGCCGGCGACGATAAGTGCCGGTAGGCCCGGAACCCGCTTTTTTCTCCGTTTCAGAGATCCGCACGTAAAAAGCAAAATAATGAATCCTTCACATTGTTTTTTTCGCAACGGGATAGTACCTAACTATGTTTTATGAGAAAAAACGATTTTTGACTCTACTCTAGGTTGCTAGTGCGAACCTAAACAATATTCATCATCATCATCATCATGTCAGCCATAGGACGTCCACTGCTGAACATAGGCCTCCCCTAATGCTTTCCACATTGATCGATTGGTAGCGGCCTGCATCCAGCGCTTCCCTGCTACCTTCACGATGTCGTCGGTCCACCTTGTAGGTGGACGTCCCACGCTGCGCCTTCCGGTACGCGGCCTCCATTCCAGAACCTTGCTGCCCCATCGGCCGTCAGTTCTGCGCACTATGTGCCCTGCCCATTGCCACTTCAGCTTGCTAATCCGTCGGGCTATGTCAGCGACTTTAGTTCGTTTACGAATTTCCTCATTTCTGTTCCTCAAACAATATTGGCAAATCGATTTATCGAGTAAAAATTAGGCAATTTCCAAACACGAATGACTTTCTATTAAATTATAACTATCTGAGGCCTCGTAAAAAATAAGAAGTTACTTCGTGCGGCAGTGTACGGGACTATTCCCATCCCTCGTTCCCACTGCTGCAACTCCTGTGTAGCCAGGATGTACAGCTTGACCTCCAGTAAAAACCCAACCAGTGAAGGCTCTCCGTGCTGCAGTACAGAATTGCGCTCTCTTGATCTGGGGGTTCTAGACTTGATTCCCACAATCAAAAAAGGCTTCAATCACCCTACTTTTCCAAATCGAAATAACATTTCCTCGGTGGACTCTTTAAAAATAATTAGGTTATTAACCAAATCGTGGGTTCAATTCCCGCCTAGGCAGTTCGATTTTTTCAAGTTATTTATCATTTTCAAATTATTAACTAAAGTTTCCTCAATTGTTAAATTAAAATCCAAACGACAAAAAAATATGATAATCATTTCATATTATTAAAATAGAGAAGAGAAGAATTGGTAATCACTCCATTAAATAAAAATGTAATTATATTACGGAATCATGTAGAGTCTAGTCCGAGTCACTCTTGACAATCTTTTTTCTTCCACCGACTCTCGAGTAGCGAAATGTCTTCGAAAAAGACTTTTCTCTCCCAAGTACGTTTTGACATCCCTTTGCGAGTTTTTTTTACAATGGCGTGCACTTAAGACGTACTCACGGCATCGTTTGTTCGGGATTTTCGCAATTTTAGAAATCTTGTTTAATTGGCGTTATTAAAAATGGTAAATGTTGCGAAATTGACTCATGGACCTTGCACAACTTCATTTTGATTGTAAATAAACATCAATTTACAAGCATATCTTAAAATTAGTGGGGCAAGAGGTAATTTCCGTAACATATAAACTTGTTAGTATAAAAGGCAATAATAAAATTTATGAAATTCATTAAGACTTATCCAGGTTATCCAGCTACTCTTACCTAGTAAAATTGATGATTAATCTAAGCATTGGCTAAATGTAGTAAATAAAGTATTAACATTTACTATACTTATTTAAAGTTTGGCTAAATTGAAATCTTGACAGTTTATTATTTACTCGTAACTATGAAAACTTTATTTAAACATCTTATTTCATATCAATAGCATAGATAGGTTATCAAATTCAATCTTTATACTCACACCAATCAATCCATTTGCACAATTCTAGTCCAAAAAGTCACAAACACAATTCCACTTTTTCCACAGATTACGCGCGCATGTCAACAATTTGAAATTCGCGCCAAGAACGCGCAGCGAGCGACACCCGTCCCGCACCGATGCCCAAACTCAACTGCCGCTTGGCCCACCAGTCTAGACGACCAGGGCTAGAGGGGGCGGGAATCAACCCCCGGACAAAAACCCACAGACCATCGATACACAAAAATACAGATAAAAAAAACACAATCAAAAGAACACCCGAAGGCTAATTACGAAACGTTTTAATCCACAACTTCTAAACGATTCAAACGTACAACTTTTCTGAAACTTTGTTTCTTCAACGGCTAATTTTGCCTTTTCAGATATTGAATCACTAATCTCAAATGCCTTCGGGCTGAAACGAAAATGGTTTCGCTTTTTAGAGCGTTTGCTAATTTCACGCTGTAACTCCTGTTATTAAATAAGAAAATTAAATATTCAGTAACTTGGTTTACGTGGAACGAGGTTTTGATAAGGTTTACCTGTTAATTAGATAATGGATAGTAACGAATTTGTAATTTCCTGTATAAATAATTGTTTTATGTTAATGATATTGATAAATTGTAAGGATACTTAATAATGTACTTTGTGTTATATTATCACTAATTCTGAATTATATTTTTGTGATATGAAAAAAAAAACAATATCCTTAAATTCGCGCACCCATGTTTTGCGAAGATACAAAATTTTTAATACTTTATTTTCCATCGGTTTTCTTCCTGGGTAATTTACTGTAATGTTGTTTTTTTATTGCGAAAAATATGGTAAACCAGAAAATAATGTAAGTTCTTGGCTCTCGGCATTGATACATGTTGTATGTAAGATTTTTTTATGAAACAAGAGCAATATTATGGCTGAGTTGCACCACCTAACTCTGACCGCAACTAAAACAATAACCGGTGTTTCTTGTATGGAATTTGTCAGATTTTTGACGTTTGTCAAAGTTACAGTAGGATGGTGACCTAAGGCTGGGTTGCACCATCTTACTTTAACTTTGACAAACGTCAAAAATCTGTCAAACTTAATACAAAAAGCACCGGTTATCGTCATAGTTACGGTCAAAGTTAGGTGGTGCAACTCAGCTTAAGTGGAATACCCGGAATCCTCAACCACGAAGGAACTGGCTATCTTACCTCTAACTGCCGGAACACAATATGTTGTTATGGCGACAGACTTAGGTAAGATGGTGGTAGCTAGCCAGGCGGACTTAGAACAAGCCCTACCACCAACCAAACCGAACAGAAAAATCTGCCCCCACTCGGAATCGAACCCGGGACCTCTGCGTCTAAAGTAGGTGGTCTTACCACTAGACCACAGAGGCGGCACTTAGCATATACGTCTAGCTCTTACATACATGATTGTCATCCACTTAGCCCTATTCGAATGTACGCAATCAGAATAGCCGAATAGTCGATATGTAATTCAGGAGATGGCCGTTAGCCGCTATTAATAAGTGTCTGCAGGCAATGCTCGGACGCCGGGAATAATCCATATTGATCTAGGTTAAATTTAGCAACGTTGCCTAAAGTAGAGTTTACGGCAATGCGCAGCAATAGTGAGAGAAGGAGAGCAAAGATATACTAAGTTATTGATAGATTTTGCTGTAGTGGTAAGCGGGTGAGGTGATCGTGGCGTGATGTCTACGATTTGACACGATATGGCACGCTCATGGCTGTCAAATTTTATGTGAATGCCACGCCACGCCGCGCCATGATGTTGTAAAACGGTAAGTTTTTATTGTCATTTTATTAAAAGTATTTTTAAAGAATATTTTTTCATACTGACAACAGCACATTGAGGTATTTGCTTAGTTCATCGTGGCAAGTGGGATTTATTTTAAGTACTTACATAGAGATTATTTCGCAGTGCAAAGTTGTGTGAATTGAGCGAAAAATAATAGTGATGGTGACGATGATGGTTAAATCCAATTAAATATTAACTATCTAGTTTACTCAACCTGATTATAAGTTAAACTAATTTAAATTGAACTTATCACGCTGACCTATGCAAATGAAGAGATTATTCAAGGATGGTTACTACTAATCTGATATTAAGACGTCCGTATTGGTTAATTCAACTGTCCATCCTCAGAAACAAAAGATGCGGGTGAAATGACAAATTGATGTTCACATGACGCGTCATTTGAATGTTGAGCTTAGTTTAAAAGTGGCACTGAATAATAGAGCCAGAATGATAAAGCATAATTATTATAACTATACTTTAACACGTGCTTTAACGTAATATGTACATACTTATCCCTCTTAATGTAGATGTTTGAAAAAAATCATGAAGAGCAAATTTTAATGAGAATAATGATTGAATATTGCTAAAAATCGAAGCGTGGATGAGAAGTTCTCTAGGAGCACTAGCTCCAAAGTGCTGGTCAGTCTCTAGTGTAAATAGAGTTTATCCAGATTATAAATGCTCAGTACTAAAAACTTTAGATCTTAGAATAAACATGGCCGTTTTCAAAAAACGTTCCCGCACGTGGATGGGTTAATCACAAAGTTCTCGTGTAGGAGCGGAGTGCTGGTTAATCCCTAGCGCCGAGTTAAGCTCACAAAATCTTCCGACTAGATACTACAGTGCTCGCTGTTTACCGCCCATGCCATCACGTGAACTTACTTATACTTCACTGCACGTGAAGTACGCGCTTTATTTGGTCTATGAACTTTATGAAGTTCTGGTGTATCTGAAATTCTTGGACTTGAGAAGGAATTCGAATGTTTTGAAAGATTATTTCGCTGCGCAAGTATAAATGTATGACGGTTCACAATTCCGATTCCCTCCGACGATTCAAGATACATCGTACCTAGTGAGTGTCGTATACCAATTTCTGTATTTGTGATAATCACCTGAAATGACATTTCAGCTCAAAGTAGCAACTTTAAGAGCCAAAAGAAAGGTCTAAACGGGACTATTCCCACCTCTCGTTTCCACCACTGCAACTCCTGTGTAGCCAGGATCTACAGCTTGACCGCCACAAAAACCCAACCAATGAAGGTCAAGTTTGTCCCGGGGGAAAGTTAAACTGTCATTGGACCCGCAACGAAATTAATCAGAAGAACATAGGAGGAGTTCGAAATTAAGGTTCGACTTCCCTCCATTGCAAAGCGGATGACAGGTGACAAACAAAGGTTTAAAACCTTTAAGAAAAGATTATGCACCACGGACAATAAATTAAATCTTATGAGCAATTAGCAACTACCTGCCAATAATATTTTTCACAAAATCGCTTAAAAGCACGGAAATTTTTCCTTGTCGCGACAAGATCGGTGTAATAAATTGCGGAAACAGATGTATGTTAAAGAAAGGTCTAAAGTAACATAGGGTTATAATAACACTGTTATAATCCTGTTGTAACATCTTGGCCAGCATCAGCGACGCCGCCGCTACAATCTTAGAATATTCGGCACTAAACTTGCAAATTATAAACTTATTTAAATATTTGCGTATGCTAAACCCTAAAAAGCAGGTAACATTTGTCAGGGAACCGACATCACAAACGCGAGGCGGTGGCTCGGAACGGCTTGAGCCACGGACGTGCTCGAACTTACAAGCCGGGCCACTACGGCTCGAGCTAAAACCGAGCTGTAATTTACCCCGCGTTGTTAATTCAGCGCTAAAGCAGGGAATTTCACACAATTTACACTACCACGGGACGTAAAGGCACTGTGTTCTCACGTCGGAGAGGATATTGCAGGATCGTGTGGAGATTAATGACATGCATCTAGATTAGAGATGAAACGGATATCCGGCAACTATCCGGTAGGCCGGATATCCGGCCTAAATTTACTATCCGGCCGGATACCGGATAGTAGCTCACTATCCGGCCGGATACCGGATATTAAAAAAACTACGAAAATTTCCTATAATAAAATGAAACACATTAATCTTTGAGTCAAATATCAATAAAATGGCTTATAATAATGACGGTTTTTATCAAAAGTCCAAAAAGTTACAAAAAAGCCATATTAAGGCCTTTCAAAAAACTGATTTCTTTTCTGGGTTATTCACTCTAATGATGAATACATAAATAGTAAATATATTTTAATGTCGAAATATTGCCAAATAAAATAGGCGATCTTTTTTTTCACTGATGGTCTGATGACATACAGGGTGACTTTGAAATCGTTGGCATACTTTTAATATAAGACTACTCATGATACATGGTGCTCTAAAAAGAGTTTAAAACTATTGTACAGTCAACAGCACATCATCCTATACATTTTGTTGCAAAGTAACACTTAATACATTGAAATAAGATGCCACAATATGAAGATTTATGTGCTGTCGTCTGTACAATATTTCAAATATTGAAATTTTAATTCATTTGATATGACTCATATTTGGGAAATCATGATGGGAGTGGGATGTCCTGTGATGACAGTGTAGTGTTGTTGTCGTTGTAAATAAATAAATAAAAAAAATGAGTAGTCTTATTTTAAAAAGAATGCCAACGATTTCAAAGTCACCCTGTATAATGCAGTTCATTCAGATTACGCAGCAAGTAAACTAATTGAATTTTCGCTATTCAGTCACATACTCACGCACGATGCATAAGGCAACCGAAATCGCCCGAATTGAGACGAGTGGCAAAATCTGACATTCTATTCGAACAAATTCGATTTTCGAAAAGTGTGACTTGTCTAGTCTACTAGACCTACTGATCGCGTCGTTCGAAGCACCTGTGCAGCGCTAAACTCGTTACGACATGCAACATGACAATGGGACAACTATCCGGCCGCCGGATATCCGGCTATCCGGCCTAGCAGCTCGCCGGATATCCGGTATCCGGTATCCGGCCAAACAACTATCCGTTTCATCTCTAATTTAGATTATTAACCTTTAACCGACGAGGTGCGGTCTCACAGACCGCTCCGGTTTTTGAAATTTCTGGATTGCAATGTTCTACTTACTCCCGTGTCCCGAGCGTCTCAGTACCTTCGAGTTTAGTTGCCCAAACGCCATTACAGGTAGTGGTTACATCGACGAGGGCAGTTTTAATAAGATAATTCGATTTAAAGTTCAACAGCGGTCTGTGGGACCGCACGTCGCAGACTACGTGACATTTTTGTACCATACTGAAACTGGCGTTTTTGTTTTAGACGACTAATTTTTCGTAAAAATGATGGATCCTGGGCTACCACAACCTAGGAAAAGACATTTCCT